GAATGATGAAATTAGTTTAACTGTGTGCTAGCGAACAATAACAGAAACATTTACAAACTGTTTCAGCTAAAGATGCTCATTGGCTAAAAAATTAAGTGTGTTTCCCTTTTAGAAACCTCTTGATTTGCAGCCCAAGCCAGATTTCATCCCTAAATTGAACTCAGCCGATAGTTTAGGTGCCCCTGAAAGGATCTTTTAGCTTTTAAGTCACCACCATTTTCCTCAAGGAAAGAACAAAGGCTTAACACATTATGCCCTGTCTTGGCTCTGCAAGTAGATGTAAGCAGGACAGCAGACTTCAGGAGAGCTGATCAGCTGTTTAAGCCCTGGTCCACACAGGCATGCCATTATTCCACCAGAGGCCATATCTCTGAAGTAAAGACCTGACAGCCCCCTTTGGGTTTGAGGCACCAGGAGCATGGCCACTTTGTAGGACCTATTTAGCAGGAGTGACAGTACAGGACATTTGTGATATGTGACAAACAACCATTTTACAGGCTACCCTGGTCAACATGCTTTGAGGCTTCGAGAGGGTTTATGCAGTTCAGGAGTGGTCTGCATCTCCCATTGTGAAACACCCAACTGAGTCAGAAAAAGAACTTTTGCTTACTTCATGCAATCATTCCAGAGAACTGAGAATACTTTAATGATTTTAGGCCTCAAATATTTTTTTTATTCTTCATTGTTGTGTGAAACTGTCCCACTCACTTACACCATAGCAAATCTAAGACTGATCTAAATCTGTAGACAAGTCTAAGATATCTTTCTGCAACCAGCCCAGTGGTTTGGTTTATTTTTTGTAGCTTTTAAAGAGCCTACATTTAATGATAAACTCTTAAAAAGGAGAAAGGACAATCCAGCAGGAAGAGCTTTTGACATAATAGTAATGATGTAATGGCAGGAAGAAAAGGCGGTGAATTTGATGCCAATGAGGAGTGGTAGTGAATCAAGCAAGCTTGTCAATAGCAAACCTCATGTATTACGTAGTGATTATTGCAGGCTAATGTTGTTTAGGATGTCTACAACACTCTATGCTATGTGGTGCAGAAATCTGACTAATAACTTGGCATGGGCTCAGTTCACCACAGATTTGACTGGCTGCAAATACTGTGTAATGGCACCAAGGCATTTGTCATTGACACACTAACTATTGCTATATTTTTGTTTCAAATTCTGAATATGATGGTTGTGCGAACTTGAATTTTCTGTTTTTTTCTGAACTGAACCCGCCATTGACATTATAACATGAATCATCCATGTGACCAAGACAGGAGCAACAAGGAAAAAAACACATTACATTAAAGTGGTAAGATCATGCTAGGAGCAGAGACATGGGAGAAGTGGAAGATAATGTTTGCAGGAATTCAGTGAATAATTGACCAGTATTGAGTTCTGAATCAGATTTCATGATTTAAAGTTGTAGAAATAAAAATATGTCTCTGGTTCTACCATGCTATAGTACATCAACAGCAGTGATACAGTAGATCTATCAAAGGGTTAGACTTAAAGCTCCATTAAGCGATATTATTAAAATTGAAGTAATGTGAAAGGGTTGCTAGGGCTCTGATCTTGACCTCTGATCTTGAGTGGGTGGATGATTGATCAGACAATTCGATCAGATCAGACCAATGGATATGAGGAGCAGCTGCTGCACAGGCAAATTTTTAGACTCAGCGCAATGTACAGTTAAGTTTCATTTTCACTGCACTGACGGTCTGTTGCTCCATTTGTTCCCAGAGTACGAGAGTGTGGAGCAACAGCGATATATATACCAGAATGATATCTATATATAACTATATCTATATCTATATATATATATTCCAGCAGTGGTCCTAGTGAGCAGTCTAGCTCCAAAAATAGTAAACCAAAATGTGGCATCAGATGTTTTAATCATGGCAGCCACCACAAATAAATTAATGGGTGGGAGACCCTGGCATCCATTTAAAAACACTGACTCTCAACAAGAATCGTCACGACTTAGATTCTACACTAAAGATCAAAATGAGCTTTTGAGTTTGACCAACATAAGTTTTACTGTATGCTATATTTAGAACATTTTTGCTGCTTTACCTTGCTATCAGACAGCGATTTTGAAGACTTGATGACTTAAGCCATCGCTGTCTTTAAAGCCAGACTTCACTGAGAAAAACAATTTAAATGTCTAGTCTACCGCTACCTTGATCAGTTAGTTAGTTTGTGTTATTGTATGACATCTGCCTTTCAATGGTTCGGTTCAGATTCACAAAAGTCACACAATATCACAAACAACCCTAACTGATTAAGGCAGTGGTAGACCAGCAGCTGCTGTATTTAGTGATGTTAAATTAGTGTTTTTCTTCATAGAGTCTGGTGGCATTAAGGAGCACATAGAAAAATACAGTACACATTGTACGGAGAAGGGGAGGAACAAGGGGTCAGTTGGGGCCCATCAGCTAACTACTGTCTCGGCACACTGGTAAAGAGGAGCCCTTTGGGATGTTCAGGTTTAAGCTAATGGTCAGCTATAACCTTGTTTAGTCAAGACTATTTAATATGAGTTACTACTGGAATTCAGAAATCGCTTAATGCTGCTTTAATTGTGCAGAATCAACAAATACAAGCAACTGCAATCATCACTGAAAACATTCTGCGGAAGAAGGATAAGGTTCAGAGTCGACTGAGAAAGACAGCAACACAAGGAGACAGAGAAGAGAGAGAGAGGGCAGGGCAGACAGAACCATACAGCCACCTGTAGTGTGCTGAAAAGACACAAAAGTGAGAAACAACAAACTCAGTGACAAGCATGCAGCTCAACACACACACACACACACACACCCATACACGTACACAAGTATCTGGATCATTATTTATATTAAGATATGAAAACTTAAGTGTGGTGCAGTCTGACAGTGGCAGGGCAGTGACACATTTTGCATCTGGCTGTCTCTGTACTCCAGTGTACTGAAGTAAAACTGAAACATCTAATATTAAAGTCATGACCCGCAGCTCTCATCCAAATGTGGAAGAAGAGTGTAGGATATGTAGTTTTTTTATTTACAGGTGTCAAATTTTAGGATATGCAGCAGGACAAACATCCTAAACACGTCCAACCAATATTTTCTTTCATAGATGAATGCTGTTACTGCCCAAGGCCACAACCACACAAAAAGCATTTTGAGAAGTTGGATGTAATTTTTGTAATTGTTTTAATGAGAATGAAGCTTTTTACTTGCTGTTTTTGTGTTGCTACGTGCCACGTGTTTCTGCAATTTAGGCACCTCTGAGCTCCTTGAGTTGAAAAAAATTCAACTCAGAGCAGAAGAGCACCAACGGAGGAGAAACTGGTGGTGCTCAGTTGCTCAGCAGGATTCCCTGTAGTTAGTATTAATTTTTGTTATGCTAGGCCCAATGAAAGGAAGCAGGTTGTCAAACTACCCCCGAATCATCCTAAAATATGCCTGGAAATGAGATCCCCAAAGGAATAAAAACAGATGGGTTATGGTTGAAGAAATGTTTCATTACTATAATTGAAACCTGGATACATTGTTTATGTATAAAAAGTCTCCCTTTTGAAAATAACTAAAATAAAGGTGATTCTCTGTCCAGCTGCATTGTTTTTCAATATTGTAAATAAAAAAATGTACACGGTATGATAACCATCAATTTTCATTTCAGGGTATACCTTTAAGCTGGTATACTGCTGCAACCCTAGGGTGTGTACACTCAAGCTGTGGCCTCAGGCGATAAATATTGTGATAAATATAATAAAAAATTCCAGTTAAATGGAAATAATTAATTAGCAATGTATCAATTGAACACCATCTCTATTTCCCCTTTAATTCGTAACAAACTACAGACCTGAGTGTTGCAGAACAATAACTTTTAGAAGAATTTTACATAAACCCGCCCTGTTTCCTGCTACCAAACCACTTAGAGATTTGTTGCTTTGAATGCTGAGCAATAGCAGTAACCAATGATAGAATTTCTGAGTTTCAAATTGGAATAAAATGGGATATTCTGAGGGATTTGAATAAATGACTAAAATCTTATCTATTCATAATTTGTACCTATAACATAGAAATAAAACATGTCCAGTAGTTCTTTTGGAAAGAGACACAGCATGTATACGCATACACAAAAAGACAGACAGACAGACAGACAGACAGACACACACACACACACACACACACATACATGCCAGCACGAAAAGTTCAGGTCATAAACTCAACTCAACAACAATCCCTTGATCCAGGTCTTAAAGAGCCAGCTCATCAAAATTGCTTAAAAACCTGCAGCCAAATTCTCCTCCCTAAAAAGAAAATTTAATCAGTTTTAATGGAAATGGATAAAGCAGCAGATGGCTGAGAATATTTTACACTGATTATCATATCATGATAACCCTTTTTACAAAAAGAGACTATGTAATACTAACTTTACACCCAATATGATACATCATTAGAACTTTTTCTTTAAGACCTGAAATCTCAAACGTTAAATGCCCTCCCCAGTTGTCACGGAAACCACCACTAGCCATTGGTCAGAGGTGGTAACCATGGAAATAATACAAACCACTGAGATGATGTCATCAGGGTAGGTGGATTATTATAACAACGAGTAAGCCGCCATGTCCCATTCATCACACTCACATACTGCAACGCCCAATTGGCACTAAGGCTTGGGACCAGACTACATTGTTCCCCACGATAGTTTATTTTCCTGAGCAGGGCTGCACATGAGCACAGCCACAGCTCACACACTGGCTACAAACCACCTGACTACTGTAGTAGGTGGTCAGCGAGTGTATTCTGATAATGATTGCTAAGGCTTCAGAGCACTGAGTGAGGGAAACTCTGAATCCACTCTCAGCTATAGGTAACTATTAAAAATGTCTCTTTCATAGTCTCGAGTGTGGAGAAAAGAGCTGTGAATGGGGAGAGGGACAGTTACTAGGCAGCAGGTTAGTAGTGTGAATGGTACATGGCAGTGCAGGTTGGCTAGCATTGTTATACTGATCCACCCACCTTAATGGGGATCCTTTAGGCGTGGCAATGCCGTAGCCTTTGGAGTCCAGGTTTCCTCCCACTTTCATAGTGTCGCAGGGTTTCCTCTGCTCGATGTACTCATTCATGGTGGACTCCAGCAGGTAGGCGTACTTCCCTTTGGACTTCCTGACACGCAGGACACCCTCTGACGTTTTCTTGACGAAGACGGAAGGCTCTGCTGATTTCATGTACTGCCACATCTTGTCAAACAAGGCAATTTTAGAGCGCTGAAAAAGAGAGATAAGATACTACAGCTTAATTTGTATAGCTTGGGTTCTTCAATACAATTGAGCACAGCTCGAAATATACTGTGGCGTTTTCTTGTAAAAACTAGAATTAGCACCTTGCAAATACATGCCATTGTGAACCAGTCAAGTTGCAGCTACAGTTTATATCCATGTCAGCCCAGTCTCATATGTGGCCATGACAGTAGACAATGCTTAAAATATGGATTTTGCTGTAAAGAAGCTACAAATGCTAAAAAGTGATTGAATCACACACAACTTGCACCCGGCAACATCTATACATCTACACAATCAGCACAGTTTCAAGGTGGATGCCCAAGATTAGCACTACTAATTCAGTATCTGACCAATGTCTTCCCTTCTGTTCCTGAGTTATGACATTAAATAATGGCCAGAAAAGTGTTTTTGGAGAGTATTATGATGTAACAGTGAAACTGACCTTTGACTTTGTGGATAGACATTTGTCGAAATATGTCATAATTAGTGTATAAATTCTGGCCAAAAATGTGTTTTTTGAGATAACAGTAACTTTTGACCACCAAAATCTAATCAGTTTATCGTAAAGTCCAAATGGACGTTTTTGCCAAATTTGAGAAAACTCCCTCAAGGCCTTCTTGAGATATCATGTTGGTGAGAATGAGATGGACACAAGGTCACAGTGACTTTGACCTTTGATCACCATATTCGAATCAGTTCATAATTAAGTGCGAGTAGCCGTCTGTGCCAAATTTGAAGAAATGTCCATAGGGTGTTCTTGAGATACCACATTCACAAGAATAAGATGGATGCAAGGTCATAGTGACCTTGATCTTTGAACTTTGACCACCAAATTTTAATCATGATATCAAAAATTTCAAGTGGATGTTTGTGCCAAATTTGAAGAAATCCCTTCCATTCTCTAGATATCGCATTTACAAAAATGGGAGTATGGATGATTGAACAGACAGACAACCCAAAAAACATCATGCCTCCGGCCACGGCTATCACTGGCACCGAGGGCATAAAAATGTTTACCACTGAGGCCCAGCATAGTGAATGCATCTCCTTATGAAACATTTACAATGACAGCTTTAAGAATATTCAAAACTTGCTTAAATCAATGTTTCTGTCAGTCTTTATTTTCCTGCCTTGGAGTTTTACCACCATCAGCTGCTGATCAGTGGTGTATGGTGTCAGCAGGAATGCCCATCACGACCCTCTTCGTGCACTCTTGTGTAGCCGTTGTGCTATCTTGTGTTGCATTGTGAAGTAATACAGTGCTATTTGTATGACCCTGGAGAAGTCCTTACCCTGAAGAACTCCTTGGTGGATCCAGAGTCCAGGGTTCCATATGCTATCTCTGTCTGTTTCGCCAGGTCCTCAGCACTCTCGATGGGAGAAACCATCCTCTCCACCGTTAGGAAGGCAGCCAGGTTGGCAGTGTATGATGAGATGATGATCAGAGTGAAAAACCACCACACCCCCCCTACTATACGACCTGACAGAGACCTGCACACAAAAACACACACACACACACACAAACAAACGCATCAAAGTATGCTGTTATTATAGTCTCACAATCTTGGAACCAATAAGCTGTTGGTCTGAGGAAGATAAACCTCTGAGGGCAAGGGCCAATATTTCAGGTTGAACCAGTGTAGCCAGCAGATATTTATGCTAAGACTCCTCTTGCATGCGCTGGTCCTTTTAGACACATATAGCTGCAGCCACATTCTGTTTGCAGCCCACATGACACACCCCAACAAGCTGCGCCCACCATCAGTACAAGACAAATCCAACGCAATGGATATTTGAACCCTGCTACAACGCAACATTGTAGTGAATAAATATAGGACCAAACATAGCAGTAATCAACTTTAACCATTTACTGTATTCATTCTACATTAAGATATGATTCACCTTATAAGTAATGAGATGTAACCCTTACCCCTGCCCTAACCTTAACCTGAACTGTCTCTCTTTTAACACTTCATAGATCGCTGAATGCCAACTTAGAATTCTTCAGAGCTTACGCTTCTGCATCAAGAAGCGAAGGGAGCTAATCATAAACTTACATGTAGGTATGGTGGTCAAGTCATGTAGTTGGTGGATCACGTAGCTGCTCAAGTTGCAGCTTTACCTACTACCTACTAATCTTAAAAATATATTTACATATGACTGCAGATAAACTTAAAGAAAGGCTAGCCAAGATTACATTTTGATGAATGTGTTGGTCTGCATACGTATGCAGAATCTGTTTATAGAGATAAATAGTCTACTAACTTGAGCACTTAGATGAGAATTTCATGGCTAGGAGGATGTCGAGTACAGTCTTCAAAAGAATGATTGAAAGACGTTGACTACTTAGAACTCTGCCAAATGTAACAATGTTGTTGACTGTTGACATTTTCAGCAAATTGTTGTAGGGAACATCCTCCCTCCCTGGACATAGCAGTCATTGCTAATAAAGAGCCAAAGCCCTCATTAGCCTTTGTAACTTCTTACAATTTCTCATTTCTATCATCAGCCTTCCTAAGTTAACAACATTGTTAAAATCTTAAAATCTGGACAACTGAAGTAAACCACATAACTTAATGTTGAGCATGTCTAGATTTTTAGTTACTTGTATTTATAAGACATATCAATGTATTTTAAAATATCATACTTCCCATACAGGACCTAGAAGTGCTGCTGTGTCTGTATCATTTTATTACAATTTTTACATTTCCACGTATCACCAGGCAATGTTACGTCTCATATTCCACCAAACGGCACTGTCAAAAAATTAAGTCTATATACAACAAATTAGCATGTGCTAATTACAGTTGTACAGAAAATCAAACAAAATGCTCTCTGTCAATGTAAAAAGCCTGCATTAAATACATTTGCAACACACTCCATGTGAATGTTTGTTTTTCTTCTTTAAATCTATGATAGTCTTTAATATCTATTTTTAGGCAACTCAAAGAACCTGGTTTGGGTCAGGAAAACATCTGGTGACTGTGAAAACAGTTTGGTTATGTTAAAGAAAGTAAAACATTTGGTTACGGTAAGGATAAGTTTAAGGTTAAGTCTTTATTTGAATATTTAGAAAGTCAACACTGACTTGAACATGATATAAATGTGGACCCCTGGCCTGATCATGTGCTTTGTACCCTCAACCAACCTTTACTCTGCTGGGTATAAGAGCACCGTGGTCCGTGTAATGAAGCAACATGTTGCCACAGTAAATATAATCTAGAAATCAGATATGGTAAGTCATATTAAAAGGGGTTGTGCCATATGCAGCACAGAATGTGAAAATAACACCTCCGCTTTCAATAAGCTGCAAATAAAGCAAGACAGGCTTATTTTTTATGTTTTGTTTCTACAAATGCAGAGAAGCACAGATGTGGTTGAGTTGTTCTGCCCCCCTCATGTATATTAATCAAAGTTGACAAATCATCAGAAAAGTCTCTCAATATAGTGCAGTGAAATATAAGGCGATCCATAGGTACAACCTCTGAAACAGCCCTTCTGACAGTGTCAAAAGCCACTGTGAAGCAAAGTCATGTTTAATAGAAAATATCAGAAATGAATGGTGCCAAACTAACCTTGGTGAGATGTCACAACCCTGCCGCATGAAAGCACCCAAAGAGAACCAAAGGGAGTTAAAGATCCCAAACTCATTGGTAGATTCAGTTGTCAGTGGCAACGCTCCGTCCTCTGGCTCCTCCAGTGTCCACTCATAGGGACTGAATCTGGACACCTACAAGAGAATATTATCATCTATTGCTTCCATTTGATACCAGAAATGTGTTGATTTTCATACAGGAGAATGCACACAAACAATATTGTATTGATAAAAGTTAATGTAAAGAAAGCATGAAAGGTCACATGTTTTCAAATCACTGCAGACAGACTGACAGTCACTGTATGTGGAAAAGCACCTGGGTTTCTATGATGTGGTGGGTGACACATTGTCCAACTTTATTTTGAAAGAAAATATATTTCCTTTAAACCCATCTTGTACAAATTTGCGGCACATGACTGAAAATTTCAACTATAAAACCTTCACACTGTGTTGCATAATATGCACATTATATATTTCATGTAAAATTATTTGAAGGGATTTGCAAAAAAAAACAACAGCATGACACCATGATAACCATGACATCTGTCATGCACATGAAGAAGTCTTTATGAATGTTTATCACTGTTGTCACTTTGTGTCATTTGGTCAATTATGTATTTTTAATGCAAAGTTGATAGTGTTTGAGACGCCTTTGTCTGCAAATTTTAGAGTGGCCTTTAATTGTGACCATCTCAAGGCACAGTTGTGTAACAGTCATGCTGTTTAATAAGCATCTTGATTAACCACATCCATCAGGTGGATGGATTATTGGACAGACAAAATCACAGAGTACAGTAAAACAACTCCCACAGTGCTCTCCCACAGACTCTAACCACACTCACATCAAAGATCAGTGGTGAGCCTCCTATACAGAGCACATCTTATCAGTGAGGAGGAGTATAGAGAGAGGTCAGTGCAGCAAGTCTGAGGAGCACAGGAGGGCCAACAGGTACAAGGAGTGATTGATAGGAATCCCACCCTGACTTCAGACCATGATGAGCACACCTAAATCATCCAAAAAACACCCCAGTAGGACTCCCTTACATGGCTTGACTGTCAGAACATCTGGCCTCGGAAACTATCAGGCAAAATGACCCCTTTCACACCATCAGCCACTTTGGAAGCCGGTTAAGACTGGGATTGTTTCATTACAAGTTGCAGTGTGTTTGTGGGGTCACATCCCTGTGCAGATCACACATGTGGCAGGATGTGCCACTTAGGATCAAGTCTGTTTGATGCAAGGGGATTCTATCCAGAGGCACTTGGGTTGCTTAGAACAGCAGGGTATCAATCAGCTCACAGCGGGTGATAATGAGTCGCTACCAGCTGTGTATTCTGTCTGGTGCCTTTGTACAAAATCTGTACTTCGGGTGCTGAATGTAATGCAGGCCCTGACTCTTATACCCCTTTCCACCCAAATTAACGTGTGTATGCAGTTTTTTTAAACACAGCCATTCCCATTGCCAGTAGACAAGGGCCATGTACGCAGCAGTAAATGACATTCAGCGCTACGAATGACCATATAAATGTTGAAAAATGTCTGCAGTAGACAAGCCTGACTTGATGTTAGCGGGTGTTAGCAGATTTCTTGTGCAGTGGGAGAGGGCCTTTACAGGTTTTCTGTGCAGCAACATTTTCATGTGATTTCATCAATTTCACATCCATGTGATACAGCTGTCTTTGCACATTATGTGTATTACTGGGATCTGACTCTTATTTTTAAGCTTCAACTACACTCAGTTTGCACATTTCGGACAGGACATTCACGCCTACACACAACACACTTACATTAAGAAACTCTAACAGCCATGATGACAGTAGAGTACTTCAGAGCTCTGGCGGTAACAAAACACATCTATACACATAAACAGACCGACTTACCAGAAAGAGTACAACACTAACTCCTATATAGGCAAAGACAATGCACATCCAGATTTCATAGGCCAGTGGGTCCAGAAAGGAGAAGACTCCTGGTTTGGATTTCTGTGGCTTTTTGATCATGATGGAGATTCCCAAAGACATGAAGGGTTTGGAGAAATCTATCACCTCTTCACGAACAAGAGTGATCGTCAGTGGAGCAACTGCTATGTCTGCTTTCTGTTGGGTAAACAAAGACAGAGTGAGAATGACAGTGGACTGTTCATGGACTTGAGCCAGCTGTTGAAAGAGAAGAAATTAACATACAAAAAGACAAATATAACTGAATTATTTTTCAAAATGTGGTGTAATACTCATTCCAATGTCTAGGAGGCTGTTCTTGTCAAGCTCAGATAATAACTGGCAATGGACATTGTCACCACACCTGGCTTGCCTGGTCTTCCAGGTTACAAAGGCTGGCCAATGTCCTCACCCTTGTCTTTTCCTTGGTATAGTAAATAGACACCCTGCATCCTCCTCATTTGCTTTGGCACATTCAACATCTCCCCAACATACCTGCCACTCATCCATGCACTGCTTTCACTGCAGATGTTGCTGACCACACACCCTATTGTTTGTTTTGTATTAATCTTAGTTGTAATAAACTGCACTTGACTGAAGTAAATATCTTGCATAGATTCTGTTCTTGTTACAATCCCTGAGAACACATGACAATTTTTAAGATGTACTTGTTATGCTATGCTATGCTATGCTATGCTATGCTATGATCAAATTCATGCAAACTTATGAAATGGGAAAGATGTTGACCACTAAATCTTCAATATACTGAAACATAAATTCTCAGAAACTTGTTCATTGTTCTCAAAAAAGAAAAGAAAAGAAAAGAAAAGAAAAGAAACTTAAGGGGCTGTACACATACTGCGTCTTTAATCGCCTGGAAAATGCAAGGTCACGCACTGTGTGCTACTCTTGTTCTGTGTCAGCTTTCAGGACAGGTTGCGTCTGAGGTTGCTTAGCTACCTTAACAAGTACCATATCATAGCCTATTTACCTGAAATCCTGAGTGTAGAGCTGATCTTCTTCCAGGCACTATCACAGACTGAGTTATACGGATGAAGAGAAAGATATCTGTCAGCTGTGATTGGTTATTCCTAATCACATGACATGTGGTGCACTCTGCTGCGTTCCAAAAGTCCAATAGAACTCCGTTTTTCTCAGAGCTCGGGTGTTTGCGCCCTGAAAAATAGGCGCTGTATGCTGCAACAGTGTGGCTTTGGTGTGTAAGTGTGCTCACTGAACATCTACATTGAAAACAATGGATTTGAAGACGCAAAAAATGCAGCATGTGTACAGCCCCTGACTGTGCTTTGTGGCCTGCAAAAATAAGATGCTACCAACCTCACTAAGTAAACCACCTGGTTACTGATAACTTATCATTTATCAGCAGCTATGAATGAAATCATGCCAAAGGAGGAACTCATACCACCAAAAACCACTTCCCTCACTGCTACAGTACATTTAATATTAGAAAAACACAATATTCATTAACCATTATATTGTTTTGTGTGTGTGTGTGTGTGTGTGTGTGTGTGTGTGTGTGTGTTTGAACTCTTACCCCATATACCAGCTCTCCAACCATACCATTCCAGATCTTGGTTTCTGCATCTCTTGCACCATATTTGCCATCTCCCACAATTCTTAGCTGGTAGCGTATACCACAATGCTTTGCAATTTCTGCTGCCAGGTCAACGCAGTAACCTAGCATCAGTCAAAAAACAGACGGAAAGACACACACATGCACAGAGTGGGTCCTAGAATACAGACTACATGTGGAATACTTTACATGTTGCACATTCACTATCAGCAGTAACCTATCCTCCACCTCTTGGGTATACTGGTGAGAAACATGGTGATGTGAAACAATTTTAAAAGAGTATATCATGAACATATTATGTGTATTCTACGCAAGGCTGTATGAAAACACACAGCTGTATGATGGTGCTACATTAGATGGTGGCAGTATGATTGTTGTGTTGTTAATGGAGAACCCTAAAGGTCTGTAAAATGTGACTGTACAACCCCTTTTCTGACCTTAATAAACAAGTAAAGTAAATTAAGAATTAAAAAACGAAACTATACAATTAACACACACTCACACATCAGAGATGGGGACTCGAGTCTGCGACTTGGCCTTGAGGCACACTTTTGTCGTACAGTCAATGTCTTTAAGACCTGACTTGAGACTCGACTTGGACTGCAGGTTTGAGACTTGTTTTGAGTCATTAACATTAAGGAAACATCTAATGAGCTAAATGTCATTCCCTCCCTCACTATTATGTGTAATGTTAAACATCTGATGCTGCAGCAATAACACCATGGTGAGCACAACTACAGCTGCTGTGCCATTTGTCATAACCTTTGGCTATAATAACTTCAATCAAAGCTTAAACAAAAGAAATCGCTAAATGCAACTTCTCAGTTGTCAAAATAAAAGATGCTGGATAGACCACATCAAACTTTGTCAGGCATCTAAAAACACACCAAGACATGTCAGTCACTTGGTGATGTGAAAGTTAATGTTAGCACCTATGGACGGTTAGCAAACACGCTAAGCTCAGCATGATGTTAGCTTGCAACTAGCTTTGAATAAGGGAAGTTAACTTGATTAGATTGGTATTTGCTGAAAATTTGTAAAATATTTTCTGCTTGCCACACCTGTTTGCATGGAGTGCTGGCTTGACTACAAAAATGGTTGATTAACTTAATCTTCCATGTTCCGCTGCCACCATCTGCTGGCTAATGTTAAACTGAGAGAAACACTATGTTCATTATTAATGTTGACTACAGGCAGGTATTTTGTTGACCAGCTAACATTATAGGCTTATAAGGTTACCATAACACTGTGTTTGCAAGGCTAGTGATGTGTTAATGTACACTAGATTTTAGGCTGTCATTAGTTTGAGATCTAGTTTAGTCTCTGTTATTGCTTAAATAGGTTATTATCGTTACTGCATGTCTAATAATATAGCAATATTTTCTTGTTGCTCTGGGTAAAATAATAACACTTAATAACATTCAAGGAAAGCGTTCATTGCGTTTTTTTGTTTGTTTTTGTGTCAGTATTGCACTGCGACAGCTTGCTTAAAGTGATCACACACCAAATAACTAATCAATGCTGATGCTGTATGATTATAGATATAGGACTAATTATATTACAGTACATGCTTTGAATTCCTTGAGCTGAAAACACTGTGTCATATGACGAGTGTCAAGTGCTGCCCCAATACCAATAGAAAGCATGGCACAACAGCACGTCAACAGAGGACACACACAGTTATTACTACTTTTACTGAAAGATATACACTTCTCCCATCTATGCAATGGCTTAAAATCATATGTGGAAACCCACTTATTACACTTGATTTCTAACCTAAAGAGCAAATCAACATATCTTTGGCTAGCCAGAAAAGTCATATTTTGTCATTGTCTTTATCATTATGGGACTGTGAGTCATAAAGCACAGGATAGTGCTCAATTCTCATTATACATGCATGTTGAGGACAGGGGTTGAGCTGCTACAGGAGCTGGTATGTGCAAGGAGAAAGTGAGTGAGGAAAAAATGTGTTTAATTCAGGAACAACAAGGCTGGAAATAGAACAGTGGCCTCAAGTATTCTTGGGGCGGCCCATCAATGTGGAGCCGTGCATCAATGAGTGCCGGCACGCGTCTAGCTGCTGGTATGGGGTTTTGCACAGAAAATAATAGGTGCGGCTGTTTTGATGCACATCGCTCAGTGCTGATGTGTTGTGGCCTTTAAATATAACTATGCAGTGCTCTAAGCATGCAGGCAGGCATGCTCATCACAACCATAAGAGACTTGAGACATGAACACACACACAAACATACACACAGCATAGTATACAAACATACCTTCATAACGGTCATTGTCTTGAAACAGCTCAGCATTCTTCTTCAGCATCACGTAGGGGGCTTCCTACATGCACGCGCACACACACACACACACACACACACACACACACACACACACACACAGAGTGATTAATCCTTATTGTTTTATGTTATTACAGTTAAAACTATATTACATAGTTTACTGCAACTTATGATGTGTTCTCTGTGTTCCTAATGTGACTAATGTGAGCTCACTCTCAATTTTGTCACTTTGGTTCCAAAGGTGTAGACAACACAGTCTTTCCATTTATCAGTCTCGTACTTTTGTCCATCTGTGTTCCAGCTCTTATTTGGTAACAATGCAAAAATACCATACAACTTTATTGTCCACTGTAGTGGAAATTTATCTTTGACTTCACTTTCACAGAATAAAACATGAATACACTGAGCCTTATAAACAACAATATGTATTGATACATAAGCTAACTGATATTACTGTGATAATTTTTGAGAGGAAAAAAAAAAGTTATATAATAAAAAAATAAAATTTCAAAATTTCAGTTGCTTTGCGGCTCCCATTTCTAGAGTACGGAAGTTCACTGCTACCACAACAGAATAAGAAATTTTTTATAACCTTTTATAACCCTTTTGTGTTATAACAAGATGTATTTCACATTAAAGAGAAAATGGAAAAATCAAGAAATATGATCAATTTGTTTGATATCCAGCTTGGATGCAGCTGAAATGGTGTATCTTGTATGGAGTCTTCCTGCCCCTCCTGCTGACATGATGCTACTTCCAGAGGGTCAGACTCATTCGTCCTTCTGTACTGCCCCATGCATGCAAAATCCTTCTTAGTGTATGCAAACTCATCACAAAATCATTACATTATAACTGGATACTGATGTGTTTTTCTTTTTCTGACATGTCAGCAACATGCTTCTGTACTTTAGGAATGAGAGACTTTTGATGAATATTCTTTCTCACCAGAAGCATCTTGGAACACCTCCCAGGAGGCAGCAATTCAAACTGTTCACACTGGTTCGACTTCAACTTTTGGTTTAGAAAAGTCTCATAGCAAAATAAATCTTAACTTACTATTCATTTGCAAAATGTAACATTGCACTTTGTGCCAAAATGGCACAAAATATTAAATGTCAGCTGCACAACAAAATAAGAACTGAATGTTCTTTTCCTCAGGCCAGAAGAGTTTTCTTTTTTCCTCTACTGTACTTGTGTAAGGAAAATTCAGAGGAGACGAGATGCAAAACAGCTATACTGAAGCCATCCTAACAGCTTTTTGTACATTTGCTTACATCCACTGTTATATTATAGTTTGTGTTTTTTTTCAGATGGCCTACACATTCACATAGAGTATAATACTTTTTTTTTTTTTTTTTTTTTTTTATTACCAGTATAGTTGTGACGATGACGGTCTTATTTTCCATTCCCATGGTGTCATTGGGGTAAAGGTCTGACTTTGTCACCACCATTTTATCCACCTCATTCCAATAGCCAATCTAAGAACACACACATACACACACAAATGTTACATATCACATAGCCACATGCTATAATGCTAATCGTGATGGCAAACTGACTCATCACTTACCTTAACAGGTCCATTGTTCTTCAGCTCCATGATTGTCACAGAGTAGTTGATTCTCTTCCCATACTGGTCAAACTGAATGTTTCCTGTTAAACCATCTACACGCACCTACACACACACACACACATACAAACACACACACACACACACACACACACACACATATACATATATATATACAAGTTTTTTATTTAACTTCACACACAAACCACCACAGTATATTGCCAAATGGTGCTGCATTGTGATGCCAAGTTGAGACATTTTTATTTTTATTTTTATGGAACTCTCAGCATTAGCACCTCTGCTAATGCGAATGAGAAGGCTGTGTTCATGCAGTCTGAACGTGGCCTTACATCCTGGACATCTGTGGCCAGTTGCACAAAACACTTACTTAAGGGTATTGCAAAGAATCCCTTAAAAGGCTTCCTTAGTTATGGAAAAAATGTTATGGCATTTACTGCAATGAAAGAGATTTTACAGTGTTAAAATTATACAGTTTCCATGGAGACAGTTTGTTTGCTTGCACTTGCGCTTGTGATACCTATTATCGCCTCAACTGCTATCGTCACACAAAGTTGGCCTACAGACAGTAAACTAGAATTACCACCTCATGGTTGTTTGCCTCCATGCCATGACATGTTTACATCCATGTCCGTGGAAACATGGATGCTTCATACACATCTTCCCCAGACAGCACAAAAGATTTACACAATCAGCACAGTTTCAAGGTGGGCTCCAAAGATTAGTCTCACCAGTCCAGTATCTGACTAAATGTCTCCCCTTATGTTTCTAGATATGATGTTGAGCAATGGCCAGAAAAATGTTGTTGCAAAACATTATGATGTCACAGTGAAGCTGACCTTTGACCTTTTGAATATAAAATGTCATCACCTCATCATCTTATCCTATTAGACATATGTGTTAAGTTTTGTCGCAATTAGCATATGAATTCTTGAGTTACGGCATTGTTGAGTTATATTTTGTGAGGTCACAGTGACCTTGACCTTTGACCACTAAAATCTAATCAGTTCATCCTTGACTCATAGTGGATGTCAGATTTGAAGAAATGCCTTCCAGGCGTTGCTTGAGATATCGCACTGACAAGGACAAGATGGATGCAGGGTCATAGTGACTTTGACCTTTGACCACCAAAATCTGATCAGTTCAGCACTGAGTCCAAGTGGACGTTTGTGCCAGATTTGAAGAAATTCCCTCAAGGCATTCTTGAGATATTCATGAGAATGGCCGGGGGCAGACAACCTGAAAAACACAGTGCTTCCGGCCATGACTGATCCCAGCGCAGAGGCTTACAAAATGTCAGAAGGAAAGATGACAAGAAAACCAATTTGGTCAGAGGAGAAGGAACAGGTGCAGATCACTCATCACTCAGTGTAAGTAGTCCGTTGAGACGGCAGAAGGCTGCCGTAGCCGTATCGCTGATGCTGCAAGACGTTGTCTGACAGGAACAGCTTGCCTACATGACCTGACATCGTTGTTGTGAGGGCCAAACAGTGATGCTGGAATGTAGCCCTGGACATTCTATGGTTTGGAAGAACTATTCCTCTGTGAAATCCTCCACATCGTGGCCCCACTGCTTCTGTCTCCTCTCCAGGCCACACACACATCGTTCTCGCCACATAACTACTAAAAGAGCTAGTGGATAAAAAGCCTATTTTTACGAAAACAAACGCCAATTGTTGCAAAGAGCCATTTCGCCAAAAATACGCTACATACTCTCCCAAACAGAAGCTCATGGCTAATTATTATGCAGAATAATGTCATCAGGCCTTCCTACTACGAAGATTATTCAGGAGATGAAGCCTTCTGTGCAATGTTTTTTTTTTCTTCAAATCCCTGTTTCACAAACACAACGTTTTTTTGTTGTTCCAAAGGGCAAAGATCTGTTCACAGTGATATCAGATATGGGTCACTTTAAACATGAAGGTGAACAGCCAGAACAATCAGCCAAATTGGCTCTGGGGAAATAATCAAAATTGAGAATTAAGCCCTGTTATACAAACGTAGCTATAGTTACAAGTATCCACTGGGTTCTCCCGAACACTCTCCTCGGGATGCTTTCATTTTCTTCATTTATCGCCATAAACTTGGCCATGTTGCAAAATGATAGAGTCAGAGGAACCTTAAGTTTTTTCCTTACTTTGGTTGCTGAGGTCCTCTGTGCAACAGTTTAAATAACTTTAAGGGATTCCTTAAGTATATGATCAAAATACAGAGAAAAACTTAAATACTTAGATTAACTGAACATTTAAACAACTTAATGGTGTTTTGTGCAACTGATTTTATTCTAAGGAAATGTTATCTTGGACTTTGGTAAACCTTAACTTCAGGTGTTGTTTGCAACTGGCCACTGAGCTTTCCACCAGCATTCAAATGCAGAAGAGTTCTGAACGTCATCATCACCCAGCCTCCGTCACAAAGGCTAACCACCAACTATGATCAGCTTTTATAGAACTGGGTCAGTTTATCTCTCTTCTGAGTGAGGAGGGTTGAAACCATGGTTACCTGTTTGAGGGCACGTTCAATCTCCACCCCCTGCGCCCAGGGAACTGCTGGATTGGCCAGACAGTCCCCGCTGTTGCCACGACGACTCATGTCTATTCTCTGCTTGTGAAGGAAGCGGAATGCCTCAGTCATCACGTGGACAGCATCATATGTGAGGGCAGAGGTATACTGTAAGACACAGAAACATCGGCAGTAATCATTATCACCTTAGTAACCCCATATGTAAGAGCTACGTTGGAACATTAACCCTGTGCAGACTGCTGTGTTGCTGTGTGTGAGGACCTCTGGATTAATTCTGTGACCAAATAAAACTGCAGCACACATAATTGTAGTAAAGATTATGTGTTTTCCAAACATAAAGGGTGCTATTTTAATCATGCAAGTGCAGTGACAAGCACTAAGTCTCCAAGAACATCTGCTCTTTTGGTCCACACATGTACAGCTGCATTAAGTGCAAAGCTAGGTGAAGAACAAAGATCAAAGTAAGAAATATACACTCAGCCAGTCACACTACTGGTCTTATTGCTCTGAAGCATCTGAGCCAACCACAGGGACGCATAACGACAGAAGCTCAACAAATAAAAACTCTTAAGGAAATCATATTGTTGTCTGGATGGGACACACAGCACCACAAATCTGCAGTCAGAGGCAGATAGTGTGGGTTCCTTAACACGGAGGATCAGCGGTTCAATCCCCGGCTCCTCTAGTCCGCATGTTGTATCCCTGAGCAAGATACTGACCCTCGAATTGCTCTTGCTCCATCGATGTGTAAGTGTGTTAAAAAACTGCAGTAGCAGGTGGCACCTTGTATGGTAGCCTTGGCCACCAGTGTGTGAATGGGGGGAGTGTGACTCGTAGTGTAAAAAGGGCTTTGAGTGGTCGGAGGACTAGAAAGGTGCTGTACAAGTGCAGGTCCATTTATCATTACTTAATCAATGCAATCATGATAGAAACAAACAATGTTTGGTGCAGCATTTTTATATAACCAGATCAATCTGATGCTAAACCTGTCATAATTCTAGGGTGTTTCACATTGTTAATGGTTACATAATATCCTAAAATATGACACAGCACTGTTTGCTTCACAATGAATTCCAAGAATAAAACATGAACCTTTGATTTTTTATTTTGTACAGGCAGGATTAATGAGCCACAGTAAGTTGATGTCTCCCACATAAACAGGCAGAATGCCGAGGTATAAACGGACCCCTCTGATGTGTGTGGAGGTGTGTGTGGTTATTCTTTAGCAGCCTGGTGTCCTGTGCACAATATTTAATTGAGGCAAGGACGGCCTTGCACAATGCACCTGCGCTCTGGCGCGGCACTTCTGAAATCAGAGGCTGCAGACTTAGCAACATATGTGTCCTGCTGCCTTCAGATGGCTGCAGAGATTTAAAGGGACAGTTCAGATCTTTTGAAGTGAGGTTTTATGAGGTACGTATCCATAGTCAGTGTATTACATATAGGAGGAGTCTGTCAGCATACCAGCAGTTTGGAGAAGCAGCAGGGGTACAAACATGGAAGCTAAGCAATGTACTTTTATATCGATATAGGGTCAAGTTGCATTACATAACGCATACCAGTGTGCATCTCTACTCTCTCACACTCTCTGCACAGGTCTGCCTCAATCATTCACTCACAAGTTCTCCATCAGCATTCAGAGAGACACAGAGCTGATTCTCTGTTTAATCTGTCTGTGAATTTGTCTACGATGCAACATTGGTCTGTATGTTGCACATGCTACGCTAAATCAGTTTGAGATTAATCAAGTTACCGCAGTAGCACACGTACAATACTGTGGGCCTTTCCACTCTTGCTTTTGGCTGCGATGAGTCAAGCCGTGCCACGCCAATTTGCATTTCCATTGTCGGTTTAGAAGCATAGCTACGCTGCGCTGCACCAGAGATAGACCTACTCTGGATTTGGTCCAAAAGCCTGGACGCCTGCCCTCAAGCGGGTAGTGATGATGTCTCGCCAACACCCAACAAACAATCCGTGTGTGTTGCAAGAATCTACTCACCTCTGTCTGAAGGAGACCAGAGGGAAAGGCGTTTTTCAGTCTCTGTATGTTCAGCACGCTTTTGTAGCTTCTAACTGAAGCTATGTGGTTTGGAGTTTAGTTTCTCTCCTGCGTCCTGTTTGTACTTTAGATATCTGCTTTATTTTACTGTTTCATGCTCGCTATCATTAGAAGTTGTGTAAAGTTGCTGCTCGAAAACTCAACATTTCCTTATTTTGCTGCATCACAATAAAAGTTTTTACATAATAAATTAACATGGGACTTTTATTGTGACGAAACTATAGGAAATGAAATGTATTCATCACTGAATTAGTGGAACTTTGTTAGTGGCTTTCATTCAATAAAGGCAAGTCTAATGACACCACAGGGAGGAAGAGTAAAAGTAGAAACAGCCGCAGTGAGATGTTTGATTAAGAGCTGCGGACAACAGGCTCTTACTGCACCTCTACAAACAACTCACCTCCAACAGGTGAACTTCTTTTACCTGCCCTGCTGTGTGATGGAAAAACACATGCAGCAAAAATAGCAGGGAACTTTAGCTGTGGATCAGTTTGCAACTTGCAACTGAACATGTAGCCCATTTAGCAGAAAATACTGAGATATATATCGTGTATCGCTATTCAGCCTGAAAATACTGAGATATGAAGTTTTGTCCATATCGCCCAGCCCTAGTGGAGTCTGGCTTTATCACTGACCAAAGTATGTCCAACTCCGCTACAATAGGTGGCAATATGTCCCCTTTCAGCTTGTTAGTATTGGACTTTTTTTCCAGTTGACCTATTATGTCACAGACAAAACAATCAACAAACAAGTTAGCTACAGTTAGCTGGCAGCAAACTGGTGCCGTGGTTGACAACCTTACAGCTCTGTACATTTCGTACGTGCTGTACGCTTTCCTTTTTCTTTTTCTTCTCTTCTTCTGTTGTGCATTAAATGCTATTCGACTTCCAGGTCAAAGCCCGGGGCGGAAACTGGAGCATGCACAGAGTGCCGAGGCCAGTTTGGGTCAGATTGACTGTATACATGCAAGTGTAACTTGACTTCCGATCACATTATCTGGGTGTGTTAGTCCGACTTTGAGAAATTTGATTTAGCACAATTTCAGTCAAACTTTTTTAAGGTGGCTAAAATATGTTTTGTTGCTGCCCCCTCCACAGCAGTGCATTGCTTAGCTTCAGTGTCAGAACTCCTGCCTGCTTCTCTGAACTAGGAGCATCTACTGTATGTAATACACTGACCATGCATACTTCACAAGATCTGAACTATCCCTTTAATGAAATGAAGCTTTTCATACAACACTACTCCGCTGTGGATATCAGATACTGTTCATTTATAGATAAAAATGCAGACTGATTTACTGGTGATCCTGCTTTATTTACAATAAATGTTAATTTTTTATGCCCATATAAACACATCTACTGGTTGAAGAGTGTTTGATTAAAGTGGTATATTTGCATTTTAAGTGGTATTCCATTTTTGCTGTAGTTTTAGTTTGCTTTTGTTGATAAAATCATCAAAGTGGCAACAAAGATATGCTGCGCCTGAAATAGGCATGGTTCTGAGACATCAGTTCTCAGCAGTCTAGACCCAGTTTCCATTGAAATAGCCTACTACTTCTAAATAAAAACTGGTTCGCGCTGCTTAATATGGATGAACTTTCCACCCCTCCTCACACCTGTGCACTCTGCACTGGTCACCAAAATACTTTACACACAGGCAAAGAAAATAACAAGGTCAGACATGTACCAAATGTGCTACTTGTGTTGGTTGCTGCAGTGTGACATTAACATGGCCCATAATGTAGACCATATCATGTCTAAAACATGTAGAATTTTACAGCAAACAAAGTGCTTTGTAATAAAAGATTATATAGTCAAGAGTTAAGTTAGATAATTAAACTCTGTATTAGCATGACTATGCTACTGTGATCCTTGGACTAGCTCCAGGTAATCTGAATCCTCCTCACAAAGTTTCTGGAGAATTTTAAACTGATGTAAACCAGCCTATGAACTAATGTTGAGCATCCAAATCTTACTCTGATCCGTGTATCAGCTCCAGGATACTCCTTCTCTTCCAGGGCCTCCCATCGTTGGTCAAACTTTGCCACCCCAGGATCATCAAAATCTACTATCTGAAACCCAGACACATTGGCACCTCCATACTGGATTTTAGAGAGGTCACCATCTACAAAACCCTGAAACACAGAAAGAGAAAAAAACAACAGAATGTTATTTCAGCTGAAGACTTTGTATTTATGCTTTGCACATATTTTACTCTCAGAGAAGATCAGTTTTGTGAAAATGACAGGATGGCCAAATCATAATTTAGCAGCACTGGGGCAGTGTAAGACTCAAGTGCACTTACTCTATGGGCGCAATGATGCAGAGGATCTGAGCTTTTTTGGCTTTGTGTACCACTCAGCAACTTTCATAGGAATGGATGGGACCCTGCTTTCAATGCTATATCCAGTTCTTTTTTTCTTCCATGGAAGCAATCATCATGCCTAAACACTGGGTAGCTCCAGCATTGAATCCTAATCATAATCAGTGTTTTCAAAGCATGCTCGCTGGTGAGTTAATGAAATGACTGCATATTTTGACATTTTAAAGCATTAGCTGACCTCTCATGAATATTTTATGTAACCAACTTAAGTTATTGTTTATTGTAAAAATGGCTTGCCTGGCCACTATTCCCACCATAGTTACGTTGATTTTAACTGCTGTCAGCTAACTTAAACAACACTTCTCTAGCTACCATAACCAGATGTCAGTGGACTTAATACTACATTTACCTTAAATTCTTTACTGTCATTGGCATTGGTTGGCATAAAAACTTCTTCCATAATTCTACAACACTTGGATGCAGATGTATCAATAGCTACATGTGATTAACATTGCAATAAATGCCATCTTGCTCATCTATAAAACATTGCTGGCTTGTATCTAGCAAGTTTGTTCCTTGGTTACATCAGTCATTACACATTGTTTGTTAGGCAGTGCAGCAATGATTGGTGATAAGATCAGCAGAATAAATGTGATATATATATATATTCATATACTTTTTTGTTGAAGAGTGGAAATGTGAAAGCATGGGACACCAACCCCAATAAGGAATGAAATAGTCGGTTACGTCTGTCGCATCACAAACTTTGAAGATACAGTTGGTTTTATATTTGGACACTGACACAATTTCTATTTATGTAATCCCTGTCATTGGCTGTGGCTCAGGAGGTAGAGCAGATCACAAGATTGGTTGTTCATCTCCAGCTTCTCCAGATTGAGTGCCCAAGTATCCTTGGGCAAGATACTGAAGCCCAAATTGCTCCCTGTGAGTGCATATGAATGTTTAACTAAATAACAGCAGGCACCTTGTATAGTAGCCTCCGCTACCAGTGTATGAATGTGTGACTGGGTGAATGTATCTGTAGCATAAAAATGTTGGTGGCTGGAAGACTAGACAGGCAAGTCCATTTACCAAATGTATATATTGTATATATATTTTTCTTAAAAAAAAAGAAAAAAAAAGAATGCTAAATATTTTATACTTCAAACACATAAAGACGTGTGTGTCTCTGTGTGTGTCCTGTTTGTGAGCGGCAATCTGGACAGCAAGGCCAAGATCTAGCGCTATCAGCTACAGGAGTGAAAGACCATTGATGGAGGAACAGGCTAAATAGGAGTGCTTGGCTGCAGGGGCTAGGTGTAAATACCCCATCCATGACCAGGGTTCAGCCCTGGGGCCTCATTTATGAAACTGTGCGCAGGAAAGGTGACTAAAGGTGATGTACGAACAAAGCACATAAAGTGCTTACGCACAAAAATATCCTGATTTATAACACAGTGCGCACACATGTCCCACGCCTGTTTCCTTTTATAAATAACAATCAGCTCGAAATGTGGTGCAGGTGAGCGAGCATCTTGCCCCATCCATAGATGCCTATAAATGGCCAGTGAAATCCCCTGAATTACCATTCATTAACAGCAGAAACAGCAGGAAGGAGAGCACGGCAAATGTAGTAAGAAAGGGTAAAAAACGTAACTTGTGTGAGGTTGAAATTCTTGTTGGAGAGGTTGATAACAGAGAGACAATGTTGTTTGGTGGACTCAGTATGGGCATTACTAAAGCTAAAAATGCAGTGGAGTGGCAGCTGGTTCAGATGCTGTAAATGCTGCTGCCTCAGACTGTGTCAGAAGTCAAGAAGTGGTCCGATATTAAGGTGTTACGGCTATTTGCTGTGATTCATTTAGACAGAAAACTGAGGGATATTTCGAGCTGACTGTCAGACAGTTTCAGTGACTGTCTGAAATAAACACTCTAAATTGGGGATACAGTTGCCATAGCTGTTTGACAAACAATCTGATTGTCTTGACTCAAATCATTATTTAAATATGTCTTGTTTTCAAAACCAATGCATCACATCCAGACGCTGCCGTGCAGCAGCAGCATTTGCTCAAATGCCTGAGGACAGAGATCGGGGTCAGGACATCAAGCGGCAGTGGCACGTTTTTCAGGTGTGCCACATTATACAGCACAGCACCGGCCCAGCTTGGTTCCTGCGGGTGGTTCTTTGTAATGCCGGGCCCGACGCAGCGCAGAGATCCAGCAGTACTACACAAAGCGGTCGGAATCAGCTCATAAGCCACTCATCATCGTTGACAAGTAGGTCCTGCTGATCCCTGACTATCCGCTCCCTCCGGAGTCTCCAATCCACCACATCCTCTAACAGTGCCAAATAAGCCATCGTGCGCCTTTTTGCACTGTGATCACTGTTTTTATACCCACCCATCAACTGACTGATTGCATGTGAAAAGGAATTCCCTGAATTGTAACTGAGGGGCAATTTTGGCCAACGAACACGTGAGATAAATATTAATAAATGTTACTTGTTTACACTTTTTCTAACAGTGACATAGCTCTTTTCAATGACATACAACACATTTAACACAAAGAAATTAAGAGAATTAAAAAACAAACAAACACATTATAAAACACAATATATTGGCTCATATAGAATAACAGTGACACTGCACTCGTATCTGCCCGACTAAGGCATCAACAATGGCAGCAGCGTACACTCGATTTGTCCAACTGTTCACATCATTATTTCACAGACTATATTTCATCAGATTATCTAATGATTATAGAATAAACCTGAGGAGTTCTCTTAAAAGAAAGATATCTGCTTGTATTTAGTCTACTAACAGGTGTTTTTTAATGTGTGCACACCAGGGACTATCAGTCAAAGACATGTTTGTTCGTTTATTCATGTTTATCCTTTTTTGCAAGTGCGCTCTTCATATATAAAACGTGAGAAGTCAGATCTGTCTTTATTTTACACAATGATATCAAATTCACAACACTTCTTCCTTTTCATCTTTCTGCCACGGGGGTCGCAGTTTCTCATGTCAACAGTTTTTGTGCGTATGCATGGGTCAGAGCTTCTGTGGAAGACACATTTTCCCGTCAAGTTTGTTTTGTATAAATCCCAAAGTTTACGTAGAAAGTGGCGTATGTCGCCTTTTGTGCATACGCCACGTTTGTAAATGAGGCCTCAGGTCTTGCCTGATAGAATAGTATGCCTAAGAAAAGGGACTTGCTGTAATAGCAGCTGTGAAAGAAAGCAATTGCCATTTTGAACATCTTTATGCCTCTCTTTCTGCTTTTTACCATCTTCCTCTCTTGACAGGAGGTCAGATTTTCTTTGAAGACTGCCAGTTCAACGAAAAATGTACATACTGGACATATTATTTTATATAGTAAAATGTTTAGTTGAACAAAGTTGTTTGCTTTCTATGTTTTGCACTATTGTTGCACATTCCAGATTCCTGATCCAAAATGGTTACTCTCTCTTTCAATGGTGCTGAGTTAGGGCTAGGCAATAATATAATATCACAATAGTTTTAGGCTTTATCATGATGCATAATATATATTGCGATATTCTGAAATCTCCTCTAAAATATTGTAGACTATTCAAATACAGAATTATAAAATAACTTAAAGTTACAATATAGTAAAATAAAGTAGCTTCTGTTACAATAAAGCTAAAGTACTGTTATATTAAAGTTAAATAAAGCACTGTAAAGATGAAGTTTAATAAAGTTTTGTTCTAATGAAATTAAATAAAGTCGAAACACTGCTTCTGTTTTGAAGAACCTGGCTCTCCTCGGGCTGGAACTGTATTTGCTGTAAACTGGAAGCTTCCGGTCAACAGTCAGATGTTTGCAATAAGCATAAAGTTAAAGTGTTGCAGCAGTGCCATTAAGCATTAAGTTTTATTCACTGTAAGCTGGAAACACACTAATAGCTCTCCACTGTATATATTAATGGTATTTGCAAGTCACACTGGTGCTCCATGGTCACAAAATGTGACTAAATAGTCGCAGTCGGAAGCCCCACAGGTACAAAATCACAAGTTCCATCTGCTCACACTGTTGTTGATCTAAATAAGTTGAACTGTTACTGTGGGGATATTAAACTTGATGATTTATTCACTGTAAGCTGGAAACAAACTCTCTCCAGATTATGTATTAATAATATTTGCAAGTTGCACTGGTTGCAAAATGCGACTAAATATAGTAGCGGTCTTGAGCCTTGAAGATATGAAACACACCTTGCCTGGTCCTACACTGTCGTTCTGGGTAAAGTGATCTGAATGGGCGGAGGAGTGTGTGTGGCATGATGTTTGTGAGTCTTTCTTTATATATGTGTGTCTGTGAGAGGGAAAGAGCCACAGGAGAGAGCACGACAACTGAAACACCAAAGCGAGTCTCATGCCAGTGGCTACAAAAAAACAGCAGACCATTTATCTTGATGTTCATGATAAAGTCATTTTATATATCCCATGTGGAGCAAGCCACGATACATGATTCAGTATATTTGATGTTTCGCCCACACCTATGCTGAATTTACCCGCCTGCTTACAATTCACTTAGAATGGACTTTAGGACCATGACCAACTCAGGGACCACTGCTTTACTGTATAGACCCCAGTCAGCTAGCAATCACCATCTATGCCACATCATCTCTGTTGCTTTTCAGCCATATTGTTTGCAGCTATTTCTGCCAGCATGTTATCAGTTTGTAAATCTGTTTCCTCTTGAGCTGCCTGACACCTGCCTGCTGTTACAGCTCTTTTGGACGTGACAACTTGAGCTGCCAGCCAGCCAGTTGATGACTGTAATATCTCACTGCATATCACTACACATCTTCATTTATCAGCCAAACATTGCAGCATTTGATCAGGTTGAACCAGAGACAGACGGTGACTCACCAAATTAGCGATGATATAGTGGTATCCCTTCACATGTCTGCCTATAGTGATCACCTGATGGAAAAAGAGTACAAGCTGTGTCATTATTATAATACTACAAAAGCTGTAATGAAAATCAAATGCACTGGGGTGTTAACATTTGCCAGTCACTGCTGTCTTATGAGAACCATATCTCCAAGGTCTTCTGCTCCTAAGCTAAGAAAAACTGTCCAGTTTTCTGCTCATATTTACAATATAATGCAATGGGTTTTAGATACTTTATTTGGCTTCAGAAGTAGGAATCAGCTAATGAAGGAACATTTTATCCTTCAGTATCAGTCAGAAAAATCTGAAATCAGATTTACATGGTTTTCATTGGACAGAGACACTATGGCCAGCTAACTTTGCAACACTGAAGAATGAGGAGGAGAAAGGTTATACAAGCATTTGTCAGCAGCAATTATCAAAGTAGAAGCTGGGAAAAAACAAACCTGTTGAACAGCATACTTAGTGGGCTACATCAAGCATTATCTTTGTAAACGCATGAGCCATCAACAGGCTGTAAAGTTGGCAATTAGTTACATAATTCAGGGCACTACAGGCCTGCTTTTAGATTTCAGAGTGAGGCTCCCTCTGCGTTAACAGATGTAATTCTGTTGGCTACATCAGGCAGAGATGACCAGTCTACACTTTCTTGAGTACAAGCGTGGTTTGTCCTTATTCCCAGATCTTGTTGAGGAGTGGAGATAGTAAGTGCACAACATGAAAAGGCAGAGCAATGCAGCCACAAAAAGGATGCTGAGCCTGAAAGTGAAGCTTTTATTGGTTAATCAATAAAACAAATTTTTACTTATCGTTAAAAGGTTTAAGGAGAGAATAAAATAAATCAATGATGGATGCAAGTGGCACAGACATACCAACCCAATCGGCAGAAAAAAATTTGGCACTGTACATTTTTGCAAACTACAGATACGTTGCATTCACACATTATTATGTAACAGATAAGTTGAAACTTTAACAACACTGTGGATAATGTGTGGTTATATTTAGGCACAAAAACCACTTTGTTAGGTCAGGAAAAGATCATGTTTTGGCTTGAAATAATACCCAGTTTTGGGTGCATCATCCTGGCAGGAAAAGCACTGATGTTTCTGTAAAGACAACTGTTTCTCTGGCCACTATCCCCGCCAATGGTCTGCTACAAAACACCCATGTTTGGTGCCGAAAAAGCAGCTGGAAACACACCAGTGACTGGGCTGAACATACATTACCATGAGTAAATATTTGGACAATGATACATGTTTTGGTGTGTTCTATTCCAGTGTTTTGGATGTAAAATCAAACACTGATTCTGGTTTAATTTCTGACTTTTTTGTTAAGTTCAAAATTAGATCAACTATGAAGGCATTATAGCCTTTTATGTTCATAGTTCCCCAGTTCAAAGTGACAAAGGTACGGGGACAAAACCAAAATAAACTTACAGTCTAAAATGTATTAATCTATGATGTTACCATATATAATTTCATATACTATATATCACTGGGATATTAATAATTCCAATTGGACAATACAGCAGGTTAAGAAATACACTACCAACATGTATAGTTTTTGTAGATTTTGCTCCTTCTTTACATCCTTGTACAAGAAAAAAGGGTCTACATTGGTTGTTTGTCTCTAATTTGTTAATGCGAAATGCTAACTTGTCAATTATATTAACTTGGAATGCACGTCAATATCAGCACATCATTGGTATCAGCAGATATTGGCTTTAACATTAGCTATCGGAATCTGCCAACATGCTGATATCGTTACCTCATCGGTTTCTGTCGATGTCAGCTTTAAAATAAACTATTAAAACTGGCCAACATGCTTTTTCCTAATTTGTACAATGAATGAATATTACATACATTAAAAAGTATTCTATTTCTGGTGGGCCATCACAATAAGAGTATACATGCATGATGTTAATTCCACTACAGAAGAGACTTCATGATCACTAAAATTAGGTGGGGTATATATTGTGTATATATTGATATTGGTATCAGTTATTGGTCAAATAAGTTATCTATCGCCATATTGGATATCAACAAAAAATCCAATGTTGTGCATTCCTGATCCTAACTATTAATGCTCACAACATTTTCACTGTGTTCATTTTCACTCTACGTTAAAACAGTGGAAGAAGTCTGCTTGTTTATGGATGGATATTATCATATATGTTAATAGTAGCAGCAGTAGTTAAAAGACTGGAATTAACCTGCTCCATGATGTCTTTGACTTTGTCTTGCTCACAGTCCAGGATTATGCGGCGCTCTTTACGGATCTCCAGGTCCTGAAAAACAGAGAGGTATTCAATATCAAGAGTCTTTAATGTTGTGCAGGCCTACAGCGTTTAATGTTACTCTGAAAAGTGATATTTTCCTGAGGCACAGAGAGGTTCCTTCCTCTCCTGCACCACTTTGGTATTTTGGTGGCTGACTGTGGGAGGAGAGGTGCAGCAGAGAGTAGAGAGTGAGTCATCTAGCTGCATACTGCCTACCAGTGTAGGCCAGGTCAATGACAAACTGTAGAGACTGTACCCGAGTTTTTGTGCTATATTGGTCACTTTAATTTGTAGGTAATTGCACCAGGGTAGACCTGTCTGAAATCCCAGTAACAGAAAAACAAAATTCTTTGCTTGACTGCATGACATATTCCTAACACTTTGTTTCAAAGGTCCTATATTATCATGATTATGGAGAGGAAGTGACATTGAGCTGTCATTTCTTAATGAGGTTCCTGAAAAGGATAATATAATCTGGTTCTAATTACATGGAAAATGGACTATTCAATTTGTTCATGTCCAATTAATCAGAGGTCCAGCATGTAGGATTTAGGGGGATACATTGGCAAAAATGGAATATAATAAGTATGTTTTCTTCAGTAGTTAATCACATAAAATTAAGAATTGTTGTGTTTTCGTTACCTTAAAATGAACCTTTCATATCTACATAGGAAGCGGGTCCTCATCCCACACAAGTGTCCCATATGTTTCTGTAGAAGCCCAGAATGGACAAACCAAACACTTGTTCTAGATAGGGCCATTCACGTTTTTGCATTGGCCACTGCTGTTAGAAGCCACTCTGCAATGAGCAGTGTCGGAGAAACACTGTTTTGTATTATGAAACTGCTTAATTCAGTGTTTTAACAGTTTGGATCACATGGTCCATTTGTTTAAGAGAGGACGAGACCTCTACAGATAATCTGGCTCATGGTAAAAACCTCCTGAACGTTTGGATCAGAAATAAGGTAAGCAGCACATATTAAGTTATCAGGGGAAAAAAAGGTGAACAAACAGCAAGTGCTGGATGAACAGCCGGTCTCTGACGTGTCAAACAGTGTTTTATGATGAGAAATTGCTTTATTCAGTGTTTTTACCACCTGGTCCTTTTGTTTGGGAGAGAAAGAGACCTCAGATAATTTGGCTCTCGGTAAAAACCTCCTGAATGATGGGAAAGAATTCTAATCAGAAGTTTCAGCTAGGTGGCACTCTGACATCCTCACTAACAGACACCACTAAATCCCCCGAAATCTTACTCACTGCTCCTTTAATTCAAACTATTTTCTATCATGCTATAGTGTTTTGTTTTTCACTCAGAGCACAGCAGGACACCTGAACATGCAAAAACTTGGTTGTATATTCCACAAATACAACAACTACATTTTTCCAATAAAACATCCAATTTTATCTAGTAAATTTGCTCTGTAAATCAACAACTACTCATAAACTCCATGCCCCTCTATCTCTGCTGTTCTCTGCATGACGCATGATGTGAGTAATAACAGTATGCAGTGCTGTGTATAAACAGTATATCAGTACCTGAAACAGGGAGCGGTAAGCTTCATCTTTCCTCTCGTCTTTGAGGTTTCCTACATTTATCGCTGTGACGACCCATTTTTTCTCTGCTGCAGTGTCCAGTATTACCTGAAGAGTAGAAAGACCTGCACACACAAACACACACACACATACACAAAACATGATTGGTCATATTTAAATACTAAAAATATTTTTTACTGCAGTGTACAAAGGTTAAAAGATAGCACTGCAGCTAAATCAGAAATACAACCCTTTCAGTATTGCTGGTATTTTTCAGTGTATATCAGACAGATACCAAGTTCTACAAAATTTTAACAAATCTGAATCCATATGCACTTGCTTATCCAATCCTATTCTTTTCAAATCCCTGATCAAATCTCCAGTATATCAAAGTATTTGACTTAAACATAAAAGTCTCTTAAGAAATACATCACACACTTCATTTTTTGCATTCTGGCAAAGTTTCATTCACCTATTTAAAGTGGAGCTGTCTTTTTTTTACATAAACAAAAACACAAAATTCAGGCTATAATCTTACTATATAATGACAAAAACTCTGTCAGTCTGTGTGTCTGTGTGTCTGTTCCACGTTTTTCTCCTCACTGACTTGGTCAATCCATGTGAAATTTGGCACAGTGGTAGAGGGTCATGGGAGGATGCGAATGAAGCAATATTACAGCAGTTGGCCAAAGGGGGGCGCTATAGCAACCGATTGAAATTGCAAACTTTGAATGGGCATATCTCATGCCCCGTATGTCATAGAGACATGAAACTTTGCACAGAGATACCTCTCCTCACGAGGAACAAATTTGCCTCAAGAACCCATAACTTCCGCTTATATAGATTTTCCGCCCTTTTGAATTTTTTGAAAAACACTTAAAATCGATCTCTTCCTAGGAAGTTTGACAGGTCTGCATGAAACTCGGTGAACATAATCTAGAGACCAATATCTAAAGTTCCCTCTTGGCAAAAGTTGGAAAACTTACTAAAACTGAGCTTCTATAAGGCAA